TCGGTGTTGACATATGCCATGTTTGATAAAAATTACTTAAATCATTAACAATAATTAATACCTATAGAATCATACAATATAATTGAAGTTTAGGTATGATTTTTTTGACGATGATATATGCATCCGTACTATCGATCCACCGATCGGTGTAGCACTGAACATGTTAATAATATGTTTTCATAGTGCATTGGTCAACTGACTACACATGCGGACGTGCTTTACCGATGGTCTTCGTTGTCTTGAAGTCTTGCAGTGGTATGCTTGGGTATAGTTTTAATTTTATTGATTATTGGGTCCCAAGCAGGTGGTAGTACCCAGTCTCCTTCTCTATTGAAATTAGGATGTTTTTTAATTTCAATAGCCTCACGTATCATCCTTGGTAGGAATCGGAGTTCTTTCGCGAGGATTTGTGGTCTATCAAATCTGATGTAATGGTTGGGGCCGTCTAGGATATGATCACAAACTGCAGACTTCCCGGAACGTTGATGCTTCACATGAGCTATATGTTCTTTTACGCTGGTTCTAATTGATCTTTTTGTTTGTCCTATATAAGAGAGACCACATTCACAATCAAGCTTGTACACTCCTGCATCTTGTAGAGGAATATGACACTTGACGGATGGTAGAAACTGATTAATCTTCTTCGGCAGCTTGTAGAATGTTCTAATAGAAGCTCGCTTCAAGATGTAGCCAATCTTGTCTGTGACACCTCTGACATATGGTAGTACAGCAGGCACACGCTCGACTGTGGCCGGCTTCACTCGGTTACTGTGACATAGGCGCGGGATCCGAAGCTTGTTGTCGTGCAGAACTTGCTTGACGTGCTGAAGCTCGGCGGCCAGGTGTTTGTTGTCACAGACCTCGTGCTCTCTGTAACAAAGATTTACCCACGGTAGCTAACTGTGAAGGATGGTGGTGAGATTTACCGTTTAAATATTGGTTTGTATGGGTCTTTTTTCTATACACAGTGTGACCTATGCTGTTGTTAGGATTTCGGATGACTAACACATCTAGGAAAGGTAAGGAATTATTTGCCTCTAACTCCGTAGTAAATTGAATTTTAGAGTTTATGGAATTAAGGTGTTCTAAAAATGCAGTTACTTTGTCTGATAGTAAAATTGTGAAAGTATTGTCTACGTACCACTTGTAGATCCTTGGTGTAATAGGTGCAATAAGGAGGGCTTTCTCCTCAAAGTCTTCCATGAATATATCGGCGACAATGGGAGATACAGGTGAGCCCATCGCAACACCATCTACTTGCTTGTAAAACTCTTCCTTCCACAATAGATAGCCAGATGTAAGGCAATGTCTGAGTAATACTGCATATTCTGCTGGCATGTTATTTTCCTCTAGTTTCCTAGTTATAATTGAGATGCAGTCTTCAGCAGGTAGGCATGTAAATAGAGACTGAACATCAAAGCTGACCATGATTTCATTGTCAGTAAGACGTAGGTCTTTTATCTCACTGACAAAATGTTATGAATCCTTAGTGTGTGCTCTTGTGTGTCCTCTGAGTGGTGATAATATTTTAGCTAAGTGTTGAGCCAATCTGTAAGTTGGCGAATCAATCTGACTCACTATTGGATGTAATGGAGCGTTCGGTTTGTGTATTTTTAGTAACCCATACAACTTTGGTGGTTTGGCACATGAAGGTATTATCGAATTAACATCTAGATTCAATTTCTCGGAGTATTTCTTAATTAGATCGCTAGTTGTTTTAAGCGTATTAGTTGTAAGGTCTGTTTTGACCTTTAGGTATGTAGTTTCATCCGACAAAAGTTGTTGTATTTTAAAATTGTAATCTGGCATATCCTTTATAACCGTAGCATTACCTTTATCATTTTGCATAGATCGGACCATAAACAATAATTAAAAAAGCTGAAGGTACTCCGGGTTTAACAATGACATCGGGACATCAGTCACCTCAGTCCCCCATGACCATGGGTGCTGGAAAGCACACGAAACGTCGGGAATTAAGAATAAAAATAATTAAAAGTATAATTAAACGCGATAAAATCCGTAAAAGTAGTTTTAATCAATGTGTAGTGTTCGCGTAAATATAAGAAATCATTATATTTTATTTCAGTTTGTTAATATACCTTTCACAAAATTTACCTAATTTTTTATTTTTTTTATTTAAAAGGTACACCAACAGTACATGTATACATATTATAAGTTACATTTTTATAGTATTATTTCTTATACATATACCTATTATAGGTGTACACAACATTGACAGATGATATTAAGTAACATTTATATATATATATATATATATATATATAATATACATATATATATATATATATATATATTTATATCTGAAAATTTTAAAACAATAAAATAGTAAAATTCACCAAAAAAAATACTAAAAACTTAACTAAGAACAATTACCTCTTCAGAAAGGGCCGACCAGTTTTCGTTTAAATTTAATCAACGAGTAGTGGAAAATCTCAAATGTTTCGATATTCATCTCGTACTGTGCGCAACATCTGACGAGAGGAGAATGGCGTCCAAGGTTAGTCCTCACAGAAGGCAAGGCAAAAGCTTTTTTGATAGGATGTCGGGGTATGCGAGCAGGTACCGTCAATTTAACACGTTCTAGGAGCTCATTACATTTTATTTTGCCGTTGACAAGTCCGTGCAAAAACACCAAATCCTGATTCCTTCGACGGCTACGCAACGATTTCATTTTAAAAAAGACAAGACGATGCTCATATGGTGACCGGTGTGACACGCCCTGCGTAATAAATTCCAAATACCTAGTGAATCTACGCTGAATACCCTCCAAGCATTGAGAGTGAACAGCATATACAGGGTTCCATGCCACGCTAGCATACTCCAAGTTACTCCGGACCAAAGCATTATACAATATTTTTCGGGTGTAATTTAAACGGAAACCTGCAGTACTTCGCCTAAGAAAACCAAGCATTTTCGAGGATTTATGCACAATATTGTTAATATGTTAAGTGAATTTAAGGTGCTTGTCTACTGTTACACCTAAATCTCTTATTTCTTCTACTTCAGTTAATGTTGAGCCTTTAATTTATACATTGGAATGCAAAAACTTCTATTATTTCTTAATCAGAAAGTGCATTTTCATATTTAAACATTATAAAATATCCTTATTTTCTTTTGAACTCAAACTTGCGAAAGAAGGTTCCATGAGTTACTGTATTATCTCACTAGACTTGTTATTGGCAGAATTCTATCAAGAGAACCCATAATTTAAAAGAAGATGAAGAAGGCTTGTTATAATATCCGAATTGTCTTTTATATTCGCATCTTACCAAACATGATCAGGCTCCAAAACTTTATAGAATCGAGTAACAAATGTAGCGCCACACAAGACACCGAAAGTAATCCACCAGCTGCAAGAAAGAAAGCAAATACTTATTTGATGATATTTTTAATACTATAATTAATAACATTATATTTACGTATTGAATTTGAATTATATTTTAATATGTTAATATCTAAGGACAACAAACTTTATTTTTTTAAATTAATTTCAGTACATTTTATTTTTAGCTATGGTGATAGTACTTCTTTTGTTTTTGTCAGTCATGACTATTCAACTTCCTATCCTACTATAAAATAATACATTAATTCATAAATTAAAAAAATTATTTTTATAGAAAACCTGGAAAGTATGTAACTGTATCGGATAACGGTATTGTCATTTTGTCAAATGTCAATTAATTCGAGCTGCCAGATGCAATTTAGTGGTTTTCCCCATATTGATTTTTATTTTTCCCCAAAATGATACCTTTTAAACAAGAAAACCACCAGTTTTGACCAATAAAAAACAAATTTAATATTTTACTCTGGTATTCTGTGAGAGCGTGGTCCTTCCCCAGTCGAGCCGACTCATTCGTGCTACAGCTATACTACTAATATAGCTACAGCATTGCTCTACCAAGTAACCATTCCCATTTTAATTGCAATGTAATTTTGGATACTACATACTGCAAAAACGTAACTTTGTCAGAAGGTTTCTTTTTAATCTGTTTCTTTGTTGACACAGATATTAATCAGATTTAAAAAAAGTATTTTCGAAGCTGTCGAAGTCGTTGTACAGCAGAAATTTTAATGGCTTCTTACTTTAACTTTGTATACCTGGATCCTTGGACTTTCCATAAAAGTAATGGATTCTAATGGCCTAGCCTAGAGTATATCGATGCTCCAATATTATTCTCGTAACATCGATGCTTCGATGTTTTCGACGACTTAACATCGATGTAAAAACATCGATTTTTTACCACTAAACATCGATATTTATCTACTATCGATGAATATTGATCATTCCTAGATGGCGCTATCATCATCATCATCATCATTACAGCCCTTCACAAGTCCACTGCTGAACATAGGCCTCCCCCAAGTAATGCCACAAAGTACGGTCCTGAGCCACCTGCATCCATCGACTTCCTGCATGTTTTACCAGGTCGTCACTCCATCTAGTGGGGGGTCGCCGTACACTTCATCTACCGGTACGAGGCTGCCACTCGAGAACCTTTTTTCCCCGACGGTTGTCAGTTTTTCGAGCTATATGGCCGGCCCAAATCAAATCAAATCATTTATTTAGCTAAAGCATGGGTACAGTGCTGCATGGATCTTTTGGCACGTGGCTATAATCGGAACTAAACGCCGTCATTGCCGCCATCTTGTAAAACATCAGTTTAGACAGCCGGCTCAAGTCGTTGTTGTATACCGTTATTTATTGCTTTTAGTGCCGTTTATAAATCTCAAAATATGCCGAAATTGATAAGAAGTGGTACTAGAGAGGTGGTGCTAAATATGAAGAGATTTTTTGTGAAGGAAAAGCAATCTAGCGCCCCTGATATTCCATTTGAAAGAGTAAATGAGTGCGTTGCAGCTGCTACAGGTAAGTGATGCCATACATAGTATCCTTAGTTTGCTCGTTTTATTTACCAAGGATAGTGGTCATATTTTGTAGGCATATTATGAGATATATTTTCTCCTTCAAATTGATAAAAATGAATACGATTTCAGATATATCTTTACGAACAGTTGCAAGAATTACAAATGAAGGGAAATTAGCTGAAGAATCGTCAAGTAAAATAGTAACACCGGGGAAAAAAAGAAAAACAAGGAAGGATAAAATTGTTATGGACAATTTTTATATTGGTGTTCTTAGACGAAAGATCCATAAGTTTTAGTCTTGTAAAAAAGAAATACCAACAGTGAATAAGTTGCTTCATCTACTTAAAGAAGAGATTGGATTCACTGGCAGTAGAGAAATTCTCAGACAGCACATAAAAAAGATTGGTTTTCGATATAAAAAAACTAAAAGCAATAGAAAAGTACTGATGGAACTTAACGATATAACTGCTTGGCGCGCTCTTTATCTTCAGTAGGTACATTTATTTTCTATTCATAATTTATTTTAAATTAAAGTGACACACTTATTCATGAGTAACATAGAATTATTTTATTTCAGACTATAAAGCGTAATGACGAGACAGAAAAATTACCAGTTGTTTACTTAGATGAGACATATATTCACTCCGGTCATACAGCTGGTAAATGTTGGCAGGATGATGATGAAGGTATTGTTTAGTTAACTATCTCATAATATTTATAGTCTAGTTAATTAGTGTTATTTGCATTTGTTAATGTACAAACGATTGATTTCAGATGGAGTATTAGAGCCTGTCTCCAAAGGACAAAGATTTATTATTGTCCATGCCGGAGGTAATGAAGGTTTTGTAGAGAATGCATGTTTGGTGTTCAAGTCACAAACAAAAAGTGGTGATTACCATGATGATATGAATCATAAAAATTTAAAAAAATGGGTTGCAGAAAAGTTAGATCCCAATTTGACAAAACCCAGTTTAATTATAATGGACAACGCTCCATATCACAACACACGCTTCAACAAACCCCCAAACACAACTACCAGAAAACCAGAAATAATTGAGTGGTTACAAAATAACAATATTGAATATTCAGAAGAATACACAAGACCACAATTGTTGGAAATTGTCAATAGATATAAGCCCGAACCAGTGTATGCTGTTGATGCTATTTTAAAAGGACTGGGTCACAAGGTAATCATGACTTAAATAAATAAATCTACTAGTAAAGTGACTTCATAAATTGTTATTTTTTATTAAATAAATGACTATGGGTTTATTTAAAATTGCTTATTTTCTTTTTCAGATATCGCGTTTACCACCGTATCATTGTGACCTCAGTCCTATTGAAATGATCTGGGCATCAATGAAACGCAAAGTAGCTGAGGTAAATATTGGCAAACCAGCCAATCAAATGCCAGAAATGGTACAGGAAGGTTTTAATTCCATTCCCGTCGAAGAATGGTGCAATCATTGTGCCCACGTCAAGAAACTTGAAGAAGAATACAGAAGTAAAGATGGATACTTGGATGCACCTTTCATCGTGGAATTATGCTCTGAGAGTGAAGAAAGCAGTGATGACGATTCTCAAGATGAAAGTGATGAAGAATTTAATAGCATTGAACCTCTCGCCATAGTTCATGCAGAACATAATTATAGTAAAAAAAATTGAAATATTGTTTTTTATTTCGTTTACTATTGCATTATCATCCAAATATTTCCTTCTTTTAATTTATACTACTAAGGTAGCAACTAAGCATAATGCCTGCCTTATGGTAAGCCTGAGCCTGCAAAAACCATTTTACAACCTAGTTATATAACCCAACTAGCTTTCGCCATAACATCATTCCCAACGTGTATGCAAAATTTCATGATGATCGGTTCAGTAGATAGGGCGTGAAAGCGTAACAAACAAACAAGCAAACTCACTTTCGTATTTATAATATTAGTTGGGATACTGCCAAGCCCCATACTCCATAATTAAGACGAATTCCATAAAACAAAGGATTTTTTTTTAGCTGGTAACCGTTAGTGAACACCCACGCCCTCATGTCAATGTCATGCAAGTGCCAAATGATACCTGTGGGACGTATACAGACGGATGGATACAGAGTAGGAGTAATAGTGTTCGTGATAAGTCAACATTTGTTTCCACGTGTTTTGCCTTTTGTGGCATGTGTAAAAATAAAATAAATATGTTAAAAAACAAATTAAAATTAAAAAAAAAAATTAAAAATAAACACTTTTATAAATTTTCATTTTCTTTCATAAACAATTTATATTTATATTTTTAGGAAACCATAACAAAAATAGAAAAATTAATTTTTGTTCATTTGAGAAGTATCACGCAAAATCCTGGATCTATAGTAATTTACTTAGTTAAGCAAAATCAATAAAAATAAAATCAAAATTTATGTTTAAAGAATTCTTTGATATTATAAAAGCCAGTATTTATTAGCCACTGCTTTAAACTTTTTTTCATTCGCCTTAATGGCTGTTCACGAATATTTTTAGAAACTTTATTATAAACCTTGATACACATTATGAGGCAATTCCTCTGGAATAATGTAGTTTTACAAGATGGCATGAGTAGACGTGTCGGATCCCTTTTTGCTAGAGAGTTATTATTTTCCTGCACGGTAACAAATTGATTAGAATTATTTTTATTGAAAACACAGATTTCTAATATATATATAAACCAGTTAAAGTGAGAATACTTTTTTCCTTGAACAGGGGTCTAAAGCTTTCAAGAGGGCCTACATTACACAGTGCACGAATACATTTCTTCTGACTTAGGAAGGCTTTGTTTGCGTCAGTTGAGTTGCCACACAAGAGTAGTCCATATCTTAAGACGGATTCAACGTACCCGTAGTAAGCAATACGTGCTGCTTGTGGACCTGCTACATTTTGAAGTTTACGCAGTGCATAAATAAATTGATTAACCTTTTTGCGTACTTTTTGTACGTGTAATTTCCAATTTACATACCGGTCAATAGAAACACCTAGGAATTGTGTATCTACTACCTCTACTAATCTTTCGTCCTTATATCTTAAGTCCAATTTTTGTGGTTTTGTTTTATAATTTCCAAATTGAATATATTTAGTTTTGTTAGTGTTGGCTCGTAAATTGTAATCTTCTATCCATGATATAACTGACTCTATAGTAGAATTTATTTATTGTTCATATATCTGTGATTTATTAGTGTGGGGTCTAACAATTGATATGTCATCAGCAAATAGTATTGACTGATGATTTGTTATACTCGGTAAGTCGTTTATGTATAGAATGAACAATAAAGGGCCTAAGACACTCTTTTGAGGTACCCCATAGTCATTTTGTAGATAAGGAGATCTGTAATATGTTAACTCTAGTTTATTATTAATACGTGATACTTAAACACATTGTTTCCGATTTTTCAAATAACTTTCGATCCATTCCAAAGCCGGTCCTCTGATTCCTAGTTTTTCACATTTGTACAACAACTTGCTGTGTTCTACACAGTCAAAGGCTTTAGACATATCAAAAAAGATGCCTACTGTTGGTACTCTATTATTAATACATTCAGTTATTCGACGTGTCAGTGAAAAGGTAGCAAGTGTAGTAGATTTATGTTTTTGAAAGCCATTTTGTTCGTTTTTGAGTATATTATATTTTGCTACAAACTACTAATTCGACTATGCATGACTTTTTCAAATATTTTGGATAGAATGGGTATCAATTTAATCGGCCTATAGTTATGAATCTCATGACGGTCATCGTTTTTAAATAAGGGTTTGACTACAGATGTATTTAATTTATCTGGATATCTTCCATGTATGAAAGAAAGGTTTATTAAGTACGTCAGAATTGGTGCAAATTCCTTCACACATGATTTCAGTATATGTGTAGTAATAGAATCATAACCAACAGATTTAGTAGTATTAAGGGAATTTATTATAATTATGATTTCATTTAATGAGCAAGATTTTAAAAAGATCGATGATTGAACATTTTCATACATATTCCTTTTAGTTTTATTACGAGTATTTAAAGAAGAACGGTCCTGAAGAGCTGTACTAATAAAATACTAATTAAATTTACTGGCAATGACGAAAGATTTTAGTTCTATTACAATTAATCCATTCAATATTATTATTTCATGTATCATTATATTCATAATTTTTAATGATTTCCCAGGTAGCTTTACTTTTTGAATGTAACAGGTGTTTCATGTTTAAATTTTTTTTGACCATGTTACGCAACTTTTTAATCATTTTAAATATTTGTTAAAGATTAATTTGTTTTCTAAACTTTTTGTTTTGTAATATTTATGTTTTAGTTTTCTTTTAGTTTTACTTGCAACCCTTATACCTTTTGTGATCCACTTTGGAGCGAGATTGTCTGTTTTGATTTTATATTTTTGTAATGGAAAACAGAGGTCATATAATAAACAAATTAAGTCATGAAATTTAAAAATATTATTAAAAATGTCATCTGTAGTTTCTTTTTCCCACGATATATTTCGAATGTATTTACGAAACTTATCAATATTTAATTTTAGGTAGCAGTTTAATTGGAAACCTTAGAAATTGACAGGTGTTATGATCTGATAAATGAAAATTGTACAGGGAAGTAGAAATATCAGACTCTTTGAAATTGCTAGCTATATGATCAACACAAGTGTGATGTCTCGTAGGTTTATTAGTACCCGGATGACCGAGCTTTGCTCGGTTTTTTTTTGAAATTACATTTAGATACATATTACATGCTGATGAATAATATTTTTTGATCGTATTGACATAATAGAAACTGAACTGGTTATTTAAATAAAAAATCATGACTGCAATTAGTTTAATTAAAATTTTCGTATTTTTAAAAAATACTAATAAAAAGGGCTCGAAATAATAGATTTTCTCACAAAAAGAAGGGAACTTGAAAAAAAAAGGAAACAAAGTCGGACGGAAGACGGGATTTCGCATCCCGTCTTCCGACCAAGGCATTACGATTTTGCGACCGCTCGCTATCCACTTGAGCTATTACGATCATTAACACAATGTCAAAATTTAACTTCTTATATTGCAGCAGTTTTTCATTGCCTGAAAACACGGACAAAAAAACATTTTCTAAAAATAAATCCTAGCTAGATCGATTTATTGCCCCCGAAACTCCCTGGACACTAAATTTTATGAAAATCGTTGGAGCCGTTTCCGAGATTCCGATTATATATATCTACAAGAATTGCTCGTTTAAAGATTTAAAGATATAGGATTATGTAGTTTAAGGTTGTAGCTGTATAACAAATTTTTTAAGTCATGAGTGACGTTATTATTCTTAAGTGTGTCAATGTTAAAGTCACCACACAATATGACTTTCTTTTTGTTAAGCTTAAATGCTAATTTATGAAAAAGAAGGTCTAGTTTGTTAAAAAATATTGATACAGGCGAATTGGGAGTTATATATACACAAAAAATTACACATTTGTAACTTGGTACCTCTATTCCGCAACACTCAAAAAATTTGTCTGCAGATAATTCATAGCATAATTGTATAACTTTAAATTCTATTGACTTTCTAATAAGAATACATACACCTCCACGTTTTTCTTTTGTTTCACAATATAATGAAGCTAATTTAAAATTTTTAAACTGAATGTTTCTCTCATCTCCCTTTTGCCATTGCCATTGCTACTTCAGCTTACTAATCCGTTGGGCTATGACGGTCACTCTGGTTCTACTGCGGATATCCTCATTTCTAAGTTTATCACGCAGAGAAACTCCGAGCATAGCCCTCTCCATAGCCCGCTGAGCGACTTTGAGCGTCCTCATATGGCCAGCAGCGAAGGACCACGTCTCGGTTCCGTAGGTCATCACTGGCAACATGCACTGGTTGTACAACTTAGTTTTCAGGTTTTGAGGTATACCTGACGAGAAGATGCGTCGTAATTTCCGGAACGCTGCCCAGCCGAGTTGAATCCATCGATTGACCTCTCGGTCGAAGTTGGACTTACCTAGTCGGACTATTTGTCCCAGGTAAACGTACTCGTCAACAACTTCGAGCTTAGTGCTCCCAACAACTACCGGCATAGGTGTGACATGGACATTAAACATGATCTTTGTTTTGTCCATGTTCATCTAGACCAATCAAGACCTATCAGTTGGGAGGCACTATTGAGGTTATTGAGCATAGTGCTTAAGTCCTCCAGCGATTCTGCTATAAGGACTGTATCGTCGGCAAATCGAAGGTGAGTGATGTACACACCATTGATGTTAATACCGTATACTTTCCAATCCAGTAGCTTGAAAATATCTTCCAATGCAGCGGTGAAGAGTTTCGGGGAAATAACGTCACCCTGTCTTACACCTCTCTGCAGTTGGATAAGTTTTGTACTCTGGTTCCGTACTCAGATAGCCATCGTAGCCCTACTGTACAAATACTTCAGCAATTAGATATACCGGCAGTCAACTTAGCATCGCTGAAGAGACTGTAGCACCGCCCAAATTTCGACGGAACCAAAGGCTTTCTCATATTCCACATACGCCAGGCAAAGTGGCAGATTGTACTCTTCGGACTTCTGTACTATTTGCCGAAGGGTATGTATGTGGTCTATGGTACTAAAGCCTTTTCGGAAACCGGCTTGTTCGGGAGGCTGGAAGTCGTCGAGTCTGCGTGCGAGATGATTCGTAATGACTCTC